GACAAGACCCCAATTTTTAGGGTGTGTGTGGGTCTCCTTCAGGTCTGCAACCTGGAGCAATGTTTTCACCCACGCGACGAATATGTAATACAGGGATGCAGAGACATCATTAAAAGTTGTATCAACGACAACAACGTTTTCGATTCACACCCTCCTATCAATTAGGAAAAAAAGTCGAACATGCCCACACTTTTAATGCCCTAGGCAAAACAAGCACCCTCCAAGACCCACAGGACCCCGCTTTCATCCGCACACGATGCATGTTAACCATAAAGTGTTGCCGGCACGAACACACACATTACGAACCAAGTGTACCCGGACACATCTGGTCAGAACGCTCCACACCGACACCCACAAAACATGTCAGCGAGAATCAACATGTCACACATCACACCCCCCACCTCTCCCCGGGATGCGCCGACACCCTACCACCAACACCCAAAACACGTTCTTCCAGCGCCCTCCGCCCTCTACACTGAGGTACCTCCCTCCCGCGCCTCTCCCTCCCGCGCCGCTATCCTCCCTTTCACGCGTCTCGTCATACCGTGGAAGCTAGCGTACTTCTGCCGCCATCCGCTCATGTGGCCCCTAACCGCAACCCGCCCATTTAGTGTACCCGCCACGGGAAGAATCGCATCCCCGCGCGCCCCACCCCCACCCCCCTTGCCCCCCGCCGCGCCTCTCGCCCGCTTGTAGTAGCGACCTTCCCCCCCATCCGCCCCCATCCGCCCCTATGTAGACCCGTCCCCACTTCCCGCTTCTGCGCGCGCGACGCGATGCCGCCGGGCTGGATACGTGCTCACGAATTCCTCTGGCGGTTGTAGTCCGGCCTCCACTGCTTCTTCAACTCCAGGGCCGTGCGGATAGCCGCTCGGGCCGGGGTCTCACCGCTCCTCGAAGGAGCCGGCTGCTCCGTTTGCCAGCCATCCGGCAAGGTGCGCTGCGTAGCACAGAGGGCCGGCCGGTTGCGTCCGCTGCGCGAGTCCTCCTCTGCAAGCTGGATCGGCGATACCTTCTCGTCTTGCAGGAAGTTGTGCAGATGGAAAAGAGCCGTGATGAGATCCGCGCGTCCTGCGAACTGCACGCGGAGAGGTCTCCACAGAATGCCCCAAGTCGAAACCAGGATGCCGAAGCTCTGCTCGATCTTGACACGAAGCTGGCTCAGGTGGAAGTTGAACGAGTCCTCCCCCGCCGGCAGCAGCCTCCCAGGGTACGGAGTCAGAAGCTTTTCTCCAATGGGGTAGGCGGCGTCACCAATGATGTGAAATCCGGTGGGCAAGCGGGCGACGGCCTTGGCGAGGGAAGATCGATTCCATGCTACCCAGTCGTTCGTAGAGCCTGGTGAGATCGCCGACATCGCGCAAAACCGGTAGTCGGCGGTGCACATCGCTTGTACGTTGATGCCGTACGCGGACTTGCTGCCAGAGTAGTACGCGAGGACGTTGGCGGTGTCTTTCGCATACGGAGCCCTGCCCTTGATGAACAGACCATCCACGGCGGCGACGACCCAGGAGAAAATGCCATCGGTGCTCTTCTCCTGCATTTGTAGACGGCAGACACGAGGGCGGGAAAGTAGCAGTGTCGGGAAGGGATATAAAATAAGTCGAGAGATACGTTGACAAAAATTGGTAACAGTGTTCAGCTGTACGTTGTGTGGGTTGATGTCATCGGCGACGGCGCCATCGCCAGCAACGGCGGGCATACCATGTAAACTGAGAGTTGGGCCGTTTGATTATCCTAATCATAATCATGCGTCACGTACAGCGGTACGAAGGTATCAGGGCATTTTAGAGCCACGGAGGTGACTGCATTGATTCCACACTCTTGTATCGCTAAAATCTGTTGCCGGGCCACTGCTGTTGCGGGGCCGAACCAACGTGGCCAGCATACACAAAGGATGACAACAACATTTATTTGTAAAGGACACCGAAAGCTGGCGAACCACCCGGGACCCGGGGGATATTTTTCGGTTCGAACCATGCTGACCACGATGACAACCCGAACTCGTACCCGCCGGCGACAACACTTTTGTTTCTCTCTTATCAACGAGGGCTGCGTATAGATAGTCCTCCCTACGCTAAAACGGCTGGAAACAGCAGACGTGAAAAAATACACGATATCCCGCGGTTGGTCGAAAGAATGCCGCCAAGAATAACCGTAGTTGCAGTACTGACCACCGTTAGGTCTCACCTTGAATCTATTGGCGTTTCGCATGCAGCCTTCCTCGGTCAGGGGGAAGTCAAATGCCCCAATCGCAGGCGTCTCGTTGATGGCATCGATCACTTGCCACAAGATGTCGAACGTGACCCGCCCTCGACAAGCCAAACATGAGGGCAACATCCCAGTAACTGCCGCCAGCCAGGATCCTCAACGCCGCGGCAACGCGGACTTCCACAGCTATGGCGCCGTTGGTTGGCGATCGCAGTGCTGTGGGGTTTCCGAGCGACGCGCAGATAACGTTTGCAGGATGAGCGTGAGTCGTTCAGGACAGAAGTACGAGTGTCAAAGGGGGCATGTTTGCAATCGCCAGCACTTAGTTTAGCAACCTACGACGGGGGGCGCATGTTCTCCGCAAACTCGTCAGATTGCCGGCCCAATACACCTACCTATGTACTACGGTACGGAGACGGCTCTGTGTTCATCACCTACATACGCATTTTTTGCACATGATGAGCACGTGTCGACAGCTGTTGTGTCATTGCGGGATACGACAATTGGTATCGGCTCCCGACGAGGCTGTATTTGTTTAGTGGGGCCGGCGTGTACTGTACGCCCTGTGAATACTGCTGCACAGTAGTGAGCGTCACGAATAGTACCTCCGCCTTTAACCCATACAATGACCGCTGCTGTACAAGTATGTGTCTTGTAACAGCAGTATATCGTACAATACTGCTGCTGCGCTGTACGTACCCTGCTGCCGCATGTTCGACGAGCGAGTTGCTTTTTTAAAAAAGGCAGCAGGAACATAGACTACAGCAGTAGTCTATGTACAGCACATGTTTTAGACTTGTGCTCTTCCCCGTTGCTTTCTACATATACACCCAGAAGAACCCTCATCACGCATACCTGCCGTGGGCGGCTGCATCTACACATCAACACTCACCGCCGAAGAAAGCGTTGACTTCCAGCGAAGGGCGGAGTAGCTCGACAAGCTTGTGGAAACTGCCTTTCTCCATGCGGTACGACCGCCGCCACCCGTGCCGTTTATCGAGGTCCGCCTCGTGTTGAGCCCACGGAAGACGCTTGGGCTCGTAGATGGGCTCCCGTTCCTGAGGGCAGTGGGCACGATGAGCCTCTCCTGCTGCCACGACGCCCGCCGCCACTACTACGGCCCTCACAAGACCCAAGACTGTGAATCTCTTGTCATGGGCTACATCCTCCTCGTCGATAGCTCGCCGACGGCGCTTCTCCCGGCGTTGCGCTGCGATCCCCCTGGGATCTTGACGCTTCCCACGCTCAGCCATGGTAGTGGAGTTGCCTTGGGAAGCACTTTGGGGTGCTGTTGGTGCTGTCTAGGTGTGGTGTGATGAAGACAGCACGCGTGACCGGTGTCTGCTCCGGTAGCCGAAAAAAAGCGGGAAATTTTTTACCGATCCGTAAAAGGAGCAAGCCCCCAAAAAATACGCCTTGCTCTTTTTACGGAAACGTAGAGGAACGCCTCCATATATTTCAAGAAAATACGGTTTCGTAACCAAATACGTATTTTTTCGGCCTGATAAGACACCCCCTTAGCAATGGATTCATAGCGGTTTTTTTTTTCTTATATATGACAATATGACACAAGTTTTCTTTTTTTTTGGTCTCCAGCTGAGCGGACAAACAAACGGCAGCTTGCAGAGCGGTCAGCTGACTGACTGTTCGTACGTTGGTACTACTTTAGTCACATGCAGAGGAGAGAGTGATGTTAGTATACCCTTGTAAGTGTGTTGAAGATGATGGTATCACTTGTATTTAGGACAGCAGACACGATCAGGACGCGGCGGGAGAGAGAGAGTGCCACGACACAGCAAGCACTCCCGCAGGGTCGAGCCCCGTGGATCAACCATGAAACCAACCCAGGGGACTATCAATTCCTATCTGCGTAGCCAATTCCTACAGTCCCGTTGGAATATTCATCCGCTCATGCACACACGAACACCCTCCCTGGTTCTTTACGCTAGTAACTAACCACTAGTGGGCATGCACACGCCGGATATGACGAAAACCCAAACGGACAAAAAAAACCAACGCGAAAAAATAACAGGGGGAAACCCGGCCTCCGGGTCAAAACCCCCACCAATATTCACCGTTCCACCAGATACTGTCACTGTTGCG